ACACCCTTGTGGCTACATAAATTTTTATAAAAGCTGCTAGGCACCAGGGGCTCACACCTGTAATCCTAGCTACTTGGAAAGCTGAAATAGGGAAGACTGAGGTTCAAGTCCAGCCCAGGCAAATAGTTCTTGAGACCCGCCCCCCCAATCTCCAAAATAGCCACAGCAAAATGGACTGGAGGTGTGACTCAAACAATAGAGCACCTGCTTTGCAAGCTGGAAGCCCTGAGTTCAAATTCCAGTCCCGCCAAAAAAAATTTTTTTAAATAAAAGCCACGCATGGTGCTTCAAACTATAATCCCAACTACTCAAGAGACTGAGGTAGGAGAATTGCAAGTTCAAGGCTAGCCCAGTCAGCTTAATGAGACGGTCTCAAAATAAAATTAAAAAATAAATAAGAGTCAGGTGCCAGGGGCTCATGCCTGTGATCCTAGCTACTCAGGAGGCAAAGATCAGGATGATCGTGGTTCGAAGCCAGCCAGGCAAATAGTTCTACAGACCCTATCTTGAAACACCCAACAGTAAAAAGGGCTGGCAGAGTGGCTCAAGTAGTAGAGCACCTGCCTAGCAAGCATTGTGACCCTATTTTCAAAACCCAGTATTGCCAAAAAATAAGAAAAACAAAAAGGGCTTGGGTTATAACTTAGTGGTAGAGTACTTGCCTAGTATGCAAGGCCACAAGTTCAATTCTCAGTACTAAAGAAAAAAAAAAGTAAAGTTCTGTCCTAAGCCATAGATATTATGGGCATTTTTTTTCCCCAGAGAAATGAAAAAGCTGGCAATTACTTGAGCCTCTCATTACAACTCCATGAAAGGGATTTTATCCCATTTTATGGAAAGTGAGATTCAGAATGGAGGAGTCCATTTCTTTTCAAAATCCAACCCCCAAGATACATTTTATACCATGACTACTAACGAACACATAAACATCTTAACTGGAATGAGTTCAATGAAATAATACCCAACTATGTGCAACGCATTCTGGTATTTTTTATTCTATTTTATTTTTATTTTTGGTGAGAATGGGGTTTGAACTCAGGGTTTCAGGCTTGCAAAGCAGGTGCTCTACTGCTCGAGCCACAACCCCAGTCCATTTTGCTCTGGTGCTTTTGGAATGGGGTCTTAAGAACTATTTGCCTGTGCTGATCTTGAGCCTCAATCCTCCTGATTTCAGCCCCTCAAGTAGCTAGGATTACAGACATGAGGCACCCGTGCCAGCCTAATTATTGCATACTTTTTGGTGGTTCTGGGGTTTGAACTCAGGGCCTTATACTTGTTAGGCAGATGTTCTACCACTTGAGCCATTCCTTCAGCTCTTTTATTTCACTTTAAAAACGTTTTGCATTCTGCTAAATTGATTCATTAACCCAGTGGTGGGTTGCAATCTACAATTTAAAATAAAAAGAAAACTAGGCTAAATAGATGTTTAAAAATCATATGGTAAATAGTAAAGCTAAGGTTTGAATTCATGCTCTTTCCTTTAAACAAATGTCTCCCTACTCTGGCCTTCTTCCTTCCTTTCCTCCCTCCCTCCCTCCCTCCTTTCTTCCTAAGTCTTAGTTTGGCCCTTTATCTAATAAACTGAAGAATGCTTGACCTGAACTAGAATATCTTGTTTCATGTTACGTTTTTTAAAAATAGGGTACATAAAGCTACTTTAAAATCCATGCAAATCTCAAAATCATTCAGTGACCTGGTATTCCAAAGTGAATAGATGGCCAACCCCAATATGGTGAGGATAATACTTCTTTGGATGCTTCTGTTGACTTTATTAACCAATGGCTTATTTTTCCCATACACCCATTATCTTTAATCTGTCAGCGGCCTGGACTACCTGACTAGTTCCATGGACGCCAGTACTCCATCCTCTAATGCAAACTTTGTGGGGTTTTTTTTGTTTTGTTTTGTTTTGTTTTGTTTTCAGCACTGGGGCTTGAAGTCAGGGTCTACACTCCACCAGCCCTTTTTTGTAATGTTTTTTGAGATAGAGCTCATGAACTATTTTTGCCTGGGCTGGCTTCACACCGCGATCCTCCTGTTCTCTGCCTTCTGAATAACTAGGATTACAGGCGTGAGCAACCAGTGCCTTGCTTATTTATTCTTTTTTTTTTTTCTTCCATCAACAGTGGTTGGTGTTCTTCCAGTTTCTCACTTTTTTCCCCTTTTTTTGCAGTACTGGGGTTTGAACTCAGGGCCCTGCACTGCTAGGCAGGTGCTCTACCACTTGAGCCACACTCATTTCCAGACCATTTCTCCCTATTGTTCATACACATCTCTGCCTGGCATGTCTTCATGAGATTGCACCACCATTCCACATCTGCACAACCATGCTTTTCCTGGAATACCTTCCTTGTTACCTTAAAAGCTTAATTAAAGTCCTCCTTTTCCATGAAGCCTTCCCAGATTATTGAGTTCAAACTGATGTTCCTGCATTTACAGTTCTTAGGTCATAAAGTATCATGATGTAGCCTTTTTTGTTGTTTTAAACTATGTGCCCTAGGTTGTTCTGTGTTTGCTTTATGAGTTGGTCTTGTACCACTAACTCCTACTTAACCTCTTCTGGGAAGTCATATCTGATCTCTGTCTGACCTATGTACTATTCCCCTGGGCTCCCACAGCCCTCTATGCTTACTAGTCACATAACCCACACTATGCTGTGGTCATTATTTATTTGTTTATCTTCCCAAATGGAATGTTTGAAGACAGAACCTGAAAACCAGCTTCTAACAAGTGCCTAGCACTTAAAAAAAAAAAAAAAAAAAAAGATATCACCAGGCACCAGTGGCTCATGCCTATAATCCTAGCTACTCAGGAGGCAGAGATCAGGAGGATTGCAGTTTGAAGCCAGTCCAAGCAAATAGTTCATGAGATCCTATCTTGAAAAAATCCATTACAAAAAAGGGCTGGTGGAGTGGCTCAAGGTGTAGGCCCTGAGTTCAAGCGCCAGTACAACAGCAACAACAACAAAAAGTATCAAAACCACATTAATGGGCTCCTGTTTCTGGCAGCATAGTAACAGAAAGGGCTCTCATTAAAATACAACCAGATTCTGGGTAAATTACAGCAATTGCATAATTGTCAGCACATTGATGAGTTCATTAGAAAGGAAGGGAAAACACTGAAAGAGAAAAAAATACAGCATTAAATTGAAACCTATATAATAGATAAGCAACATGCAATAGGAGAACCAGGTTTGCCTTGGGACAAATGCCTAAATCAGCATTGTGAACAGTCTAAACCTTGGGTCTAGCAAAAAACCTGGGACCCCTGAATTAAACCTGGACTTTCACCCACCTGTAACACAGAGCCTCATACATGTTGGACAAACATTCCATGTACCCTGAACTACACCCCCAGCCCCAGGTAAGGAGCACATCCTTGCTCCTGGTAGAAGCAAGTACAAACCCTTTTTGGAGGAAAATACCCCCAATTTAGGCCCTCAGGATTCCCATAAAGTTTAACAAATATGAGTTCAAAACCCCAAAGTACACAATATACAAGAAACAAGCTACCACAGGCAGGAATCAGCAGAAAGCATCAAAATAAACTTAGACATCTAAAATTAGTTACAGATGGCAGGCACCAGGGGCTCATGCCTGTAATCTTAGCTAATCAGGAGGCAGAGATCAGGAGGATTGGGGTTTGAAGCCAGCCCAGGAAAAATATTTCGTGAGATCCTACGTCAAAAAAAACCATGACAAAAAAGGGCTGGTAGAGCGACTCAAGGTGCAGGCCTGGAGTTCAAACCCAGTACCACAAAATAAGTAATTAAGTAAGTAAATAAATAAATAAATAAAAGAAATAAAATAAGTTACAGAATATTAAAAAACCCTAACAAATTTTCAAGAATAATTACGACAGACACTACATTCTTTGAACATGAATAAATTGAGGATGAGCACCAAAACTAAAAATTTTCAGTACTACCACCAAAAAAAAAAAAAAACCTTAAACCTCCAGACATTTGGAAATTTATAAATTTTTTTTAGATAATTCATGAGGGGCTGGGATTGTAGCTCAGTGATAAGAGTGCTTGCCTAGCATGTGCAAAGCTTGGGTATGATCCCTACCAACATGCCCCCAAAATTCATGAGTCAAAAATTACAGAGGTAATTTAAATATTTTCAGAACTAAATAATAATGAAAATGCAACAAAGAAAAACCTGTGGGTACAGAGAAGCAGAGTCTGAAAATTTAAAATAGCTGGTGAGTGGTACCTCTAATCTGAGCACTTGGGAAGCAAAGGTAAGAGGATCTTGAAGCTGGGCAGTGGTGGCTCACGCCTGTAATCCTAGCTACTCAGGAAGCAGAGATCAGGAGGATCGTGGTTCAAAGCCAGCCTAGGCAAATAGCTCACAAGACCCTATATCAAAAAAAAAACATCAGAAAAATAGGGCTGGTGGAGTGGCTCAAGGAGGTGTAGCTCCTGAGTTCAAACCCCAGTACTGAAAAAAAAAGAGGATTCTGAAGTACATAGTGTGATCCTATCTCAAAAACCTGAGGGTTGGGGATGTAGCTCTGTGGTAAAATGCTTGTCTGGCATGCAATCCCAGTACTGAAAAAAAACCAAAAACACAAAACCTAGAAAACAGCCTGAAAATTTAGTTAAATGTCCAAATTAAGATATTTTAAGGCAATATAAAACTAAACCTTACAAAAGCAGAAAAAAGGAGATACTATAGGTCCATAATTAATGAAATGGGAAAGAAACACTAAGAGAGCGTCAACAAAGCCCAAAGTAGTATCTGAAGATATACAAATAAAATACCTAGGGCTAGAGGTATGGCTCAAGCACAAGAGCCTGAATTCAAACCCAAATACTCCTAAAGAAATACATACACAAATTACTGGTAACTCGATCAAGGGAAAAAAGAGAAGGATCAAGTACACAGTAGAAATGAGAAGGATATGACTATCAAGAGCAGAAGGAAAATAGTATATGAACTTCAAGTTTAAAAAAAAGACATGCTTCATGTAAAAAAAAAAAAAAAAGACATGACACGTACAAAAATACTAGGAAATACTTCACCTAAACTGACTCAAAAAGAAATAGGAAGTAGTCTATAGCTATTAATCAATCCAATACTTAAAATAATTCCCACAAAGAAATAGAAGGTTCATATGGTTTTATAGGTAAGTTTTACCAAACATTCAAGAACAGTTCATTTCAATCTGATGTAAACTTTGCCAAAGAACAGAACAAGAGAGAACAGTCCGCAGCTCTGAGGGTATACAGACCAAAGAGACCATCTTCAAAGCCACTTTAGAAATCTTACTAAAAACAAAGGCACTAACATAGAAAGTTATAGCAGCACTGTGAAATAGCAAAATACTGGAAAGGCCCACATGTCCACCGACAGGCAAATGGCTAGGTGAGTCATGGTTTACGCACTTGATAGAATATTACACATATGAAAGTGAGTGAGTATAAGCTATGGTAACATGGATGAATCTTAGAAATGATGTTAAGTGCAAAAAAAGCAAACTTCAAGGGACTAGTAGAGTAACACTTTTGTAAAGCTAAACAAGCAAAATACATTTTTATAGAATATACATACATGGTTAAAATATATATAACAAGTGATTTAAAAAAACAAAATCAAGGCCAGTGGTTACCTCTAGGAAGAGGCAGTGGGCACAGGACAGGGAGAAGCACAAACTCAAGGATATTTCTAATGCTTTTATGTGTAAATTGAGTGATGGGTCATAGGTACTCATTATATTTCATAATTTACTCATGTTACATATATTCTTTATAGATATCAAATATTATATATAATTTAAAAAGAATCTGTTGTGGTGGAAGTAAATGGACAAATGAATGACATCTCCCTGGAAGAAAATCTTATTTCTTGGGAAGAGCCAAGATTCCCTGACAGAAGCTATCTTATGTAGAGGACAAAGTAGGTCCTCAATAAATATGGGTTGCCTTACTGCTTTTCCCAAGGTCACACCTGGAGGATCTGGATCTCCTTCTGCTGGTGCTCCCTGACATGCAGAACAACCTCATTCCATACAACTAGTCTAAATCCCGCGGCTCTGGCTAAGTCCTGACACATGTATGACAGGAGACTGACACCTGGTGGATACAGAGTGAATTTAACGAAATGAATAGGAAGGATAGTGAAAGAGGCAGTAATAGGTTAGGGGATAAGGAAGCAGTAATGAGAGAAAATTCAGAAATAGGAAAAAGAGTTCTGTCTCTGAGATGTAGGTGGTAAAAAAGGACTTGTCATCTAAATGAGAATGAACGGGATGTCCCTAAAGGAGAATGATTTCTGTCTCTTTCCCTCAGAGACTAGAACAAGAGGAAAGAAACTACAGTTGCAGTGAGGGAGATGCAAGAATGAGGGAAAAAGCATCAGGTCTAGCTGATTTCAACCTAGCAAGCTTAAATACATGTACTTGGTAGTTGTAGCTGGGTGTTGGCTGCCTCCCAGCACCACCCTCCCCCAGTCTGTGTCTGTGTAATCTGATTTTGAGGAAGCTGATTCTACCCTTTTCCCCAAAGAAGTGGTCCATGATTAATACACCACCTCATACTCACACCGACTGGTCAGGGGTGGGCATGTGACTAGCTGGCCTAGTCAGAGTCAACCTTTGGGTTTTTGTTAGGATTTCTGCTGATTGTGCAACATGTCATCCAAGGAGTGCTGGCAGGTATGAGGTGGCCCAGGCTTAGAAGATTTAAATTAGATGGAGCAGTAAGACTAAAAATCAGGTATTTAAAAACATATTGAGCAAGCATACCAAGCTTCACCTGGAGCCAGCAGTACCTCTGGACTTTGCAGTTACATGAGCCAATCAATCTTTTTTTTTTTTTTTTAATATAAAGTTTGAGTTAGGTTTTCTGTGATTGAAAACCAGAAGATCCCTAACCTATACATTCATCATACTTACCCTATCCCTACCTTCCCCACAGGAGAGCACAGGGATCCAGGTGGGAAGGTCACTACAGATTTATTGGTTATACTAAAAGTCAAGGTATTGAGCTGGAAAGGAAAGAGGCAGCCACCAGGCACTATGTAAGATGGGGTGATTCCACTGTCTATACAGAGAATGGAGTCCCTTAGGGGAGGAACAGCCAAATGAGAAGCAAGTGCAGAGAAGGGTCTCTACCAGGCAGTCAGATAGAGGTAACACAGAGCTACAGCCACTCTTCCCCCGCAAGCCTGTCAAGGGGGTGTTGCTTTGGGGTCTTTACGCTCATGAGTTAAGGGTCTTTGAAGCATATGCCCCTTTAAGCCTTTATTACCCTGTGCTGCAATGTCTGCCTCTCCCTTTACTAACAGAAGAGCCTCCTTTTGGCTTCTACTGCCCTTAATGACACTCACTTTTGGGGGGACAGGAGGAATTTTATCTTCTGTTTCTTTGGCTTGCCGCAAACTGGGGACCCATCCTCCTTTGGAAACAGTACCATCTTCCTGACCTTGGGCAAGCACTGCCCCCTGCTCAGCCTCTCCCATTGCCCTTGGCCTCTCTGACCCACTAGCTAAGTTGCTTTCACCTCCTGAATCCCTTGTCTCCCATGGTAACCTTGAGGACTGGGCAGAGTCCATGGCAGCTGCTGACTTTTCAGGGGTGGAATTTCTTTCCCCACTTCCACCAGACTTTTTTCGAGGGCGCCCCCGTTTTCTTTTGGCATCACTTACTGTATCCTCTGTATCCCGCTTTGTTGCTTTAGCTGGTGGGTCCTGCCCACTGGCCTCACTCACAGGTACTTCAGCTGTCCTCTTGGCACCCTTGTCTCGGGGTCGTGGGTCACCACCTAAGCCTACCTCCCTGTTCTCTGTGCCCCAGGGCTGAGTGAGTCCCCCAGGTGGAGCTCGCCCTGGCCCAGGCCCTGACCCAGACCCAGGCCCAGGCCCTGGCCCTGGCCCAGGCAAAGCAGGAACAGTTGGTAAGAACATAATGGGCACAGCTGCTTGAGGTCCCCCAGCCCTACTTGGCAGAGGCAGTGTAGCTACTTTCAGAGTGCTTGAAGAAATCTTGGGAGCCAGGATGGGTGAAGACACTTGGATTGGCGGAATAAGTGCACGAGGCACCCGAGGAAGGAGCAGAGGCAGCCGGGCCACTAGGGCATTAACCTGTGGGTTACTGGCTGCTGGGGCTGAGCTCTCAATTACACTTTTCTTTCTCTCTCCACGCACTTGATGGCCAGCTCCAGCCCGGGTTTCTAGCTCCTTAGGAGGCTAAAAAACAAAGAGAAGACCAGAGTAAGTGCAAAGACTGAACATGGGAGGAAGTGCAGACACTGGAGACACCAAAAGTTAAAAAGCAAGGGACCCACCAGGGGAAGAGTATACAAGCCCGAAGTCCAAAGCAGCAAAGTCAGGGGCATCAATTTCCTTACCTGGGCCAGTCTCTCTGGTTTCTTCTGGGCTCCACCCTCCAGGTTCTCCACACCATTCTTGGATTTAGATGACCGTTCCCGAGGGGCATGTTCATCCTCTTCTGCAGAGGTGCCAGAAAAAGATAATAAAGTGAGAGTGAGAAGAAACTGAGGAATGAAGAGCAAGGTGATTCTGACTACCTAACTGCCTGGAAGAGACAGGGGAAAGCAGGTGGTCTAACGCATGTCTTAGAAAGGTCTCCAGGACTAGAAGGCAATCCTATGAATGTCTATTCTAGTGTGTGGGAAGGCTGGGGTGCAGTGATACACGCATGTAGTACCAGTTTCTTGGGAGGGTAAAGTGGGAGAATTGCTTGAGCCCAAGAGACAGGAGTTCAAGTGCAGCCTGGGGAACAGAGTGAGACCTCAGCTTAAAAAAAAAAAAAAAAAAAAAAAAGCTGAAAGTGGCTGAGGATTTCCCAGACAGAAGAGAAGGTCTACCCACCAGCAAGCCCCAAGGCCTTCAGCACATGGGCATGGGCAGATCGGGCAGAGATGAGATGCTGCTGTAGTAGGTAGCGGGCAACCTCAACAATGGAGCTGAAGGACCGTTTCAGGATTCGCTCTGCCCAGTCACAGGTCAGAGCGCAGGCTGCCTCCACCAGTTCATCCCGGGGTGCTGGGGTTACTTCTGGGCCCATTTCTGGCTGTGGTGGGGAAAGACATGACCAATCACATTATAAACTAAAGGACCCTCCCTCTTGACACTACTACTGACCAAAGCTAAGAACAGACTGGGGATGTAAGTAACTTCTACCCACCCCAACCCAGAAACCCACAAACTTTCTTCCTCCTCTACTTTGGCCCTGGGGGAGGCAGAAAGGCATCCAGAAGCATTGTACAGAATGACCTAGCCTATGTCATCCCTCAAAACATGCCCCAAAACTGGGCATGGTGGGGCATGCCTGTTCTCAGGTGGCCGAGGCAGGAGGATTGTGAGTTCCAGGCTAGCCCAAGGAAAGGTAGTAAGATCCTGTCTTAAAAATAAAAGAACTGGGGCATACATGAAGTGTTACAGCACTTGCCTCTCATTGCAAGACCCTGGGTTTGATTCCCAGTACTAAAAAAATAATATTGTTCCAAAAACCTCCAGCTTTTACCTAGAAGAGTAGAGTTGGAGGGTTGTTACTTACACTCTCAGAACCCTTCAGATCAAGTCCAGGCAAGGGTGGCATAGATACCAAGGTCTTCCGCCGTATGCCACTGTAGCAGTACCTGATGCCAGTTAAGGAGCAGCTAACACTTGGGGCTATCCAAACCCCTTAGGTAAGTTAGGCTGTTTCTACTCCTGGCTCTCCACATCCTACGTTTTTCTCCCCAGTCTTCCAGCCCCAACCTCCCCAGTTAAGGATACTTGGACTGGCCCCGGCCACCAAGTCTTCGGGCCTTGATGTCAGGGAAGATCTCTCTGATGATTTTGCCAAAGTTGGCTGTGCTGAGCGGGCGACAACAGGCAAGACTCTCACAGTACTTCCTGAGTAAGTGGGAGGCAGAGTGGAAGATACTCAGAGAAAGGCTATGAGTAGGTTCAGAGGATTCCTATAGTGACTGAATATGGGGAACCCTTTAAGGAGTTAGGCTCAGCAGTGCGCCCATGGCTCACACCTGTGATCCTAGGTACTTGGAAGACTGAGACTGGGAGGATCACAGTTCGATTCCAGTCTGGGCAAATACTTCTAAAGACCCCATCTCCAAAACAGCCAGAGCAAAATGGACTGGAGATGTGGCTCAAGCAGTAAAGTGCCTCCTTTGCAAGCATGAAGCCCTGAGTTCAAGCCCCAGTCCCACCAAAAAAATAAGTTGTCAGGCTCTAGCAAGGCAGGAAGCTGTGCAGCGGTGGAGACTAGTCCTATACCAACCAACCCAGGCACCACTCCTTCCACCCACCGATAGGCATCATAAACACTCTGCTTTGGCAGACAGGTATCTGTGTGTTCTTCCAGGTGGTTGCGGATCCACCTGTAGGCATACATGTACTCCTCATTGCTGAGTGTACTTGGCTCTGAGCTGCAAGAGAAATAAAAGGGACAAGCATTACTAAGAACCCAATAGTGTCCTGGTTCTTCTTCTAGACTTCCACTTCAGAATCCACCTTTCCCTGCTAAACCAAGCTAGGGAAGAGGCCTTTCTTCTTGATCAAGGGCAGCAGCTACATGTCTCCCTCCTCACTTTGCCCCTCCTCAGAGAGACTGTCTCTAAGAATCAGAACCTCTGACATCTAAAACTCTACTACCAAACCTACCTTTTGTCTCCAGTGCTGGGCCCTGAGGGGAGCTGAAGGTAGAGATACAGCTTGTCATTGTCTGAGAATTTCTGTACATCTTGCTGAGGTAGGGGAGAAGAGGCAGGAGAAATAGTAAGGCCAAGAACCTAATAGATGACCCTCTGATCCTTACCAACTGAGTCCAGCTGCCTCATAGGTTTTCTGGCTGAAAAGGGACCTCAGAAATGATAAGGCTGGGTAACTCACTGTTCTCTGAGGAACCCTATGGGCTCCCATGGAGAGAAGGGGGGCAGAGGGAATCAGCTCTAATTTTATCTCTACTGGGCTTCTACTTGATTAGATCGCAAAGCAATGAAGATGCTCAAAGTCAAATTGGCAGCAACTTTGTTTTGGAGATAGGGGTCTCGAAAAGTATTTGCTCTGGCTGGCCTTAAACCAAGATCCTCCCAATCTCAGCCTCCCAAGTAGCTAAGATTACAAGCATGAGCCACTGCCACCCACCACACAACTTTCAAAGCTGATTATCTTGTGATAAGGCAGACAATACTGCCATTCCTACGTATACCTTTCATGCACCCAGATCATCCCCACCATTCTTACTCCCACCAATGTCATCTCTATAGTGCCCTCTTCCCAACTTGCTTACCAGAATTCCCTCTACTTTGTTCTGCACGGCCTTGCTGTGGGAAAGAAGAGAAAGCTGGAGGTCACAGGTTTTCCCATTCCTTTGTCTGATTGCTAGGGAGGGAAAAGGACCAAAATGCCTAGCAGGTGCTCAAGAATTGCTACCATGATTAAGAATCTCTCTTTGCTCCAAGGCATTTACCTGGACAGAGAGTCCTCTGGAGATGTCCAGAGGAGTGAAGTGCTACAAGGATCTGTCACAAGTTCTGAAACAGGATTTGGAGATGGGGTCAAGTACTTACGAAATGGTGCCACGGAGCCTTTGAAGAAGGGTGGTAGGTTCCCCAGCCTCAGCACCACCTTGAGGGGCCCTTGCCCCAGTCCTGGGGCTCTTAGCATCAGGCTCATCTTCTGCCATTCCAGCATGAGGACTAGAGCTGAGGGAACAGGGCATGAAGATTTAACTCATACCGGCCTTCCCTTCCCCTTGATAACCCCAAGACAGTCCCCAGAAAGACAGAATCAGAAACGAAGCCTTCAAATTTCCGCAGTGGTCTTTTTCTCACCACTTGCCTTCTCCAAAAATTAGAAATTATTCCGCTACTTGGCAGGCCCATCGATACCCAAAGAGATCTTTGGCATCTCTATTATATCAGCCTCACCTCTCTGAAGTCTCTCAGATCTGGAAAACTGTAAAGGAGAGATAGGGGGATGGAGAATCCACGTTAGAGAAAAATGTTCACTTTTCCTCTGACCCCCTGTTGCCCTCCTGCCCCTCAAAAACAACAATAACAATCACAAAACAAAGTTCTCCGAGTCTCTGATAATACTTCCCACCATTGATTTTTGCCTGGGCAGTCAGAAAGGATACGAACATTTCGGCCCTTCCAGGGTCCGGGGAAGAGGGGGGGGCGGGACAAAACAAAACAAAACAAAACCTGGACCCAAGTTCTCATTACTTAATCTCGCCACGGCTTTCCCCGCGGCCGTCCTCCCCACCCCGCCGACCCCTACGTCATCGCCCGCAGCATCGCATCGTGATGCGCGCCCCCACCTCCCTCCCTGCCCCCGCCATCCAATCCCAGGTTGCTGTAAAGTGGGGGACTCAGGGCTGCGGAGCTCGGGTCTGGGGGTAGGAATCCAGGTGAGAGGAATGGGGTCCCAGATTCGCGGCACGTGCACATGGGTGAAGCTGTTCAAAATGCAGCCGAAATCTTTGTTTCAGCTCCCCTCCCAACTCACATCGCCCCCTCCCTACCTCTGAACAGTCGCCTTCCAACACAAGCAACAATAAAGGTAAGGGAGAAAGAGAAACTACCTCCTAGCCACCTTCACTCCAGCCCAGCCCAGCAGTCCTGGCCCGGCGGGCTCGTGCGTTGCTTTATTTTCCTTTTTCTGAATGGTTGTAACAGCCACGATCTGCCTGGATACACGGACGGCCTGCTCTGTCATTGGTCGTTGTTACCACCTAGAGACAGAAGGCGCCGGGCTCGCACAGGCGACAGCTAAAGTCTGCCTGGTAACAGAATCTGATTGGCTAACAGGGGAGGGAAAATCCAAAATTGGTTTTATTTGAGTCAAGAGGGGGAAGTCCGGGTTAGGTTTCGGTTAAAACTGGGGTGGGTTGGGACGGCCTGTCCCAAGAGGTTCTCTTAAAGGGACCGCAGTCGAAAGTCCGTGCGCTCGGCTCCCTTTGGAGCTTTCTCGTCTTTTGGTCTGTCTCTTGTGTTTCAATTTTGCCTTCAGTCATGAGAGCTGCTGGAAGAAAAGAATCAGCAGATAACAAAATAACTAGAAAATTATGGGTAGTAGTGATGGAAGTTCACTATAAATTCATATAAATAACTCCCTTTTGATGTAAAACAATTTGAACCATTCCGCCCTCCCCCACACTCTTCCCTAGCCACAAGCAGACAATCTGCAAATACATTCAACTCCCAAGGAGCCAGCAAACAGCAGGCTGTCCTTCTCTGAGATGGAGGCCTAAAAACCTCAGCAGCTGTACCACATTACGCTAAATGCTTTTTCTTTCTTAGTGATCCTTCCAAGGAGTTGCTAATGCATTTGCACCCTCCGAGTTCTGCACTGTGGACACTGGAATTTTGACTGACTCCCACAGGGGGTGCTGGATGCGTACATGAACTTTTTACCCTTACAGAACATTGTCATGGGTTCTTAGCCGTCTTCGTTAAGACTTTTTAGATAAAAAATTAGATGAAAACAATGATTCCTCTGCTAATGAAAAAATTCCTTTGCAATGAGAAAATGAATGTATATGTTCAGGTAACAGCCATGATGGCTGAGGCAGGATAGATGAGACTGGGAGATTATATTATTTTAACAAATATTTAAAGGGCCAGAACCAGCAGACATTGGAAAGAGAAAGTAAAAACTTAAAAAGCCAGAGCGAGCCCCCTCCCACCTCCTTGTAGATGTTAAATTACAAGATTAGGGAGATATTCTTTGAGATGTTAACAAGCTGCTGCAAGGTTCCTTGGATGGTTGGAGAGGCAAAAAGAATGAAAGACATGTCTACCAAAGGGAAGTCTGAAAGCACACCTAATTGTCCCTGCATTTTGGGTAGGCCTGGATGACTTCCTGTTTTAGCACCCATTCTAACCACAGAGATTCATTATCTTAATGATTACTGGTTGCTAGACATGACTACTGTAACCACTAGTTGTATAAGACTAGAGATAAGAACCACTTTTTTATGTGTGTTTGTGTGTGTGTGTGGTACTGGGATTTGAACTCAGGGCCTATATCTTGAGCCACTCGACCAGCCCTTTTTTGTAATGAGTTTTTCAAGATAGGTTCTTTCGAACTATTTGTCCATGTTGCAGGAATCTCAAGCAGAGATACAGGGGGACACTGAGGCACTTTAGAAGGAAGCAACACTTTATTGTGTCGGCACAGACCCAGGCTGAGCCGGGAGAACAAAGGGGTCTCACCTTATATACCCTTGCAAGCAGGTTACAGAAGCAAAAAGGAAGGTCTAATCCATATATGGTTATATACAGTTCTATAGGCTGCTTTACCCCAGTGCTACGTGACGTTCCCCCTCCCCAACGTTCAGATTCCTGGGGTTTTATCTCTCTACTATGCCATTCCTACCTCCCTGCTACTTTATCAGAACTCAGGCCTAGTCTGTTTTCTTCTGATCCTCCTCCCTGCTACATTATTCCCCCCTTTGATGCTCGGACCTGCCTAAGGTGAAAGAGCATCATCTTAATCTAGGGGTTTGTATTTTCATAGCATCATTACATGTGAGGCCGTTTGTTTGTTTGTTTGTTTTCTATAATGGTCTCCATAATAGTCCTGATAGACTGCAAAGCCAGGGGAACCAGGCAGGGCAGAATTAAGCATGTTCCTAGGACTAGGCCCATTGTCCCTGTCAGGGTTTTGAATCGCCTAAAGCAGAGAACCATCCTCCAAACAGGTCATTGGGATCCCATCCTCTCCAAGTCTGGACAGGGACATGGACGAGCTTCCTCATTTTGTGTGTCATTTTTTTTTTATGACTTTTTCTTTATCATCAACCTGTAAGCAACAGTTGCTTAGTTAAATTTTCCACAAACTCCTCCCTCAGAAGCCAGCAAATAGTCTAAAGCCAAGTGGTTCTGATGGATGGCATGTGCATCTTAGTGCTTTGTTTTGCCAGCAAATTGAGAGCTCTTGCAGTTTCATTAGTTATAATTTCAACAACAGCCTGCAGACTGATGATGCAGTTGAGCATATATATAGGGGTGCGATAGCTCCAGGACCTATCTTCTGCCCAGGTGGCAGGATCACAGTACTGGATGATTCGCTCAGGAGGCCATTCGTTATCTTTTTTAATTGCCAATTTGTGAGGCATCCCATTTTTATCTCCTTAACCTTTTTTTAATATATGGGGACTCCCAGTTTTTCACCTTGTCTGAGGGGAAGCAATAAGAAGGATGGTCTGATTGAGCCTAGCACACAAGAACCAGACCAGCTACTAGGTAGCACTGTATAAGCTTGCTTCCCACACATCCAATATGCCCACCAATCTATGTTTGCAGTAAGATTGTTCCAAGATTTCCAGAGATTAGAAGAGTTGGCCAGTGGGTGGGGCTGGGGTTCTGTGTGGTTTGGAGCTCCCCACCACTGGGTTTCTTGAGCAGTGTCATTGTAAAATTTCTGTCCTAAACAAGTTAAATCCCCCACCAAGTTGGAGAATTGGCCTTCTAGGCAGGAGATACAATAATTTCTGATGATGGAAGTTTTTAGGAGCTAGACACCTTCCCTGGGTTTTGGGAAGGCAGTCTCATTAAAAGGCTCCTGTGGGTCCAGCTCCCTTGCTTCCCAAGGCCAATGGTCTCCCATGTTGGTCCCCACACAAACATAGCACAAAGTGACATTCGGTGTCTGAGCTATAGATTCAGCCAGTGAGTGGAACAAGTTTTTGGCCTTGGTAGAGACAGAAAATTCACTCCTTATCTCATTATAAAAAGAGTGAAAAACGTGGTATGAGGAACTCTCATGGGCATCAGTTACTAATTTGAGGTGCATCGGGGTCCCAGGGTCAAGGCCCTTTCCATATCCTTATACTAATTACATGCCCCCGTGTCCAATCAGATGGCTTAAGTATAGTGAAATTTACAGGGTTACAGATGCCAGGGGAGTAGTCGGGGCAGCTGTCCCCTTGTGAAGGAGGGCTGTGTGTTTTGCCCTTTGCCATGTGGCATGAAACACAACCCCAATAAGGACAATATTAAGAACCCACATCATCACATGGCCAAGAGTTGTCTCCCCAGCACATATACGTATCATTTGCTGTATAGGCTCTTTCCCAAGTTAGGCCCCCAGAGCCATGGCCTATAGCTCCACATCCACCTTGGTTATGGCCGCACATGCATCAAAGAACATTGACACTGGTTTATCAGTGCTAAACACCTGGGTGCAGCTGATGAGGTTCCCAGGGTGGCAGACGCTCCTGATCCCTGACAATTGCTCCCAAGGGTGGTAAGTGGGGTTGAAGCAGATATGTTGATTACCATGGGAGCCAAGGTATGGTTGTGAGAGCATGACCCGATGACAGAGCCTGCACAGGAATAGTAAGTATGGAAAAGCAAAGTCTTAGTGACAACACTTCCTGTCTGAGTAGTACGGATACATAGGTCACAGGAGGAGGGCTTTGGGACTGTGAAGGGAAAGCAGGTCAGTAACAATAAACAGTAATTATGCATCCTGCCCAAAAAAGGTAGAAAAGAGCTAATAAAAACCTTTTGCCATAAGTCCAGTTGGCAGGGGTGGTTTCTGCCAAACCTATGGCAAAGATTAGGGTGAAAACTGCAGCAACAGATACAGACAAGGGGTGACAATGCATCACAGTGAGATAACTGGTAGGGAAAACAATCTGTTTGTCCCATTGGAGAGTTGACTCCTCAAGCAAGCTTCTGCCCTGTGTAGACTAGTCAGCTTCTGGAGGTGATTAGAGCAGTGCTGTTGTCCTGTCATATGTGATCCCCTGTTGTCCCCTGGGGAGTGGAGTCCTGCTGAGGAGGGGTGCTGACACTTTCTGAAGGGTGATCTTACATGGCACATGGGGAAGCCGGGTCAGGGATATATTCCGATTCAAGAGAAGCTGGCTTGACTGGACTGTGGTGGATCCAAGGAGCTATCTCTGCTACTTTAACTGTGATGGGAGTAGATAAAATAACAACAAAAGGGCCCCTCCAATGTTTGGGTTTTTTTAAAATAAATTTATTTATTTATTTTATTGGTGGTACTGGGGTTTGAACTCAGGGTCTCATGCTTGCTAGGCAGACACTCTACCACTTGAGCCACTCCACCAGCCTCCAATGGGGTTTTAATGGTTGGACATTTTATTCTTTTGCCCAGACAATGTCTTTTGGGTTTTTTTTTTTACTGAGTAGAATTACCATGGCAACAATATATTATCAGTATATATGTCCAAGAAAATGCATTGTTTAAAAAAGTTAAAAACACCATCTTTAAGTATCAAAGGACATGTTTAGAACCAATAAAAATAATCAGAAGACCCTGTCTAAAAAATATGAGTTTGTGTCTGGCTTTAATGCCAGATAGGTACACATGTATAAGAACAACTTCCTTAATCCTCTTGGCCTTGGTTATTTTTGAGAGGTCTGGCATGAGTGACTCCATTTAAACTTTGATGGCATTCCCCCTTGTCTCCAAACTGCTTGTCTCTGAACAGTCTCCTCTGAAGATCTGTCTCCCATCCAAGTACTAACCAGGCCAGACCCTGCTTAGCTTCTGAGACCGGACAAGATTGGGCACATTCAGAGTGGTATAGCCACAACTGAAGATCTTTCTTGATTGGTCATTGCAAGTTA